CCGCGTTTCTCAGGCGAAATTAGGCACGAAATGAGGCGCTTAAGAAAGCCATTCAGTAATATTAGTTATTTCAAAACACTTTTAAATATGCCGCTAGGCACATGGCCACTCGTTCCACGCGGCCATCCGACGCATTTTGTGGGCGAGTTCTGAATAGTAAAAAGAGAAAAATGTAAAATCTAGCAAGCTGAATTTCTTTTTTGAGAATTACGGTTTCAAATAGAACGTCTATATGCGGCATTAAAACTTACGAAATTGCCGAAATAATAAATATTTCGGCAATTCCGTAGGATAGCTTGGTTATGCTTCTTTTGCTTGGTGACCACTGGCAGAAAGATGTACTGGTGAGTAAGTTGGTCAGTTTCGACGGGATATGACAACGCTGGTGTTTTGGCTAATCGTCAGTATTATAAGTAAGATCTAACAGATGATCATGCGATAGAATGTATGTGGGATGTTAGTAGAAGTAATTGTTCTAAAAGTGAAGAAAAAAAATCAACTAAAATACAACTTGCTGTTGGCAGAAACCGAACCTGTGACCTTCGAACTACGCATCCATCAGTCTACCAACTTAGCTTAAATGGCAGATATCCCCCGTGTACTTTATAGGGTATGTATGTGACATAAATGTGGGACCGTTAGAGCGCCGCTAGTGGCCATAACAGCGATTGTGGAACACACTTTTGCTGTCTCTTTCGGCCACTGCATACGGCAAGTTATCTTTTCGTTTAATTGATTGATTTATATGTGGGGTTTAACGTCCCAAAACTACCACTTGATCATGAGAGACGCCATAGTGGAGGGCTCCTGAAATTTCGACCACCTGGGGTTCTTGAACGTGCGCCCAAACCTGAGCACACGGGACTACAGCATTTTCGCCTCAATCGGAAATGCAGACGCCGCAGTGGGGACTCAATCCTGTGACGTGCGGGTCCGCAGCCGAGTACCTTCGCCTCTAGACTACTGTGACGGGGCTATCTTTTTGTCTACTTTTCTTTCTTACTATTTGCATCACTATTACCCCCCTATATGGCTTGCTTAGCATGATTATTTATTCAATTGTGTTTTGCAATAAAAACGAACCCTTAGAGGTACGCTTCTGTGATTCGTTAGTAATATTCATGTTTCGATCAGCATTGTCATATCCATTCACATACAAAAAACTCTTATTTCCATTCCAATTACTTATAATACCTACCCCTATAGTTTGCTTAACATGATTTTCTGTTTCAATTGTGCCTAGCAAACAAAAACGAGTCCTTGAATGTGCACTTTTGTCCTTCGTTAGAATTATTAATGTTTTGATCAGTATTGCCATATCCACTCACACACAAAAATTCTTATTTACATTACAATTACATTTATTACTACCTTATATTGTTTGCTTGGCATGAATCTCTGTTTAAATTTTGTATAGCAAATAAAAACGAGCTTTTACAGGTAACTTTCAGTTTTCTGTTAGTACTATTCATGTTTCGATCAGAATTCCCATATCCACCCGCACAAAAAAATTCTTATTAGCAATACAATTACTTCTAATACAGCCTCTATAGTTTGCTTGGCATGATTCTCTGTTTTGATGGTGGATAGCAAATAAAAATGAGCCTTAAAGGTACACTTGTGCCTTTCACTAATGTTATTCATGTTTTGATCTGCACCGCCATATCCACTCACACGGAAAGAATTCCTATTTACATTACAATTACTTCTAATACCATCCTCTACAGTTTGCTTGGCATGATTTTTTGTTTAATTTGTGTATAGAAAATAGAAATGAGCCCTCAAAGGTACACTTCTGTACTTCATCAGTAGTATTCATGTTTCAATCAGCATTGCCATATTAACTCGTAAAAAATAGTTATTTACATTAAAACTACTTCTAATACCACCCCCATATTTTGCTTAGCATGATTCTCGTTTTAGTTTTTTTTAATGTGCATAGCAAATAAAAACAAGCCCTTAAAAGTACACTTTTGTCATTTGTTAGTATTATTTATGTTTTGATCAGCATTGCCATGTCGACTCGCACAAAAAAATTCTTTTTACATTAGAATAACTTCTAATATGACCCCGTTTAGTTTGCTTGGCATGATTCTGGGTTTTATTGTGTATATCAAATAGCAACGAACACATAAAGGTACACTTCTCCCCTTCGTTGGTATTATTCAAGTTTCGATAAGAATGGTCATATGCACTCACACACAAAAAATCTTATTTTTAATAAAATTACTTCTAAAACCAGTCCCTATAATTTGCTTGGCATGATTTTCTGTTTTATATTGTATATATCAAATAGAGACGAGCCCTTGAACGTACACTACTATCCTTCGTTAGTATTATTCATGCTTCGATCAGCATTGCGATATCCACTCTCACACACACACACACACACACACGAAAATACCGATGAAGCCGTCTTCGCATCTCTCACGTACCCGCTTTAAAACGAAAGCGTTTTATGCCGCACTTCATGAAGACTTAAAGACGTATTTCCGTCACGCATATGGTGTTTTGGTAAAATGAACACAACGAATGACGAGGAACAACTAAAAGCAAAATTTTGTGTGAAACGAATGACATTGGAGTTGGACCAGTGATCTCTAGGTGCGTAGTGGGTAGAGCTCTTAGAACTTTAGGGTTCCAGGAGCCCTACCCACTACACTACCCAACCACATGTATGAAGCTTGGCAAAGACGACTTATACCTCTCGAATATTGCCCCTCGCCTGGCGCTCATGGTCAGATGGCTGGTGAACTAGTGAAGGGAAGATTTTCATCTGGACATGAACGAGAGCTGCTATAGGGAGTATTCAGTGACGGCGTAGTTAGGGTGCCTCGATTGTAGCGAAGGATTACTCACCTTGATGGCATCGAGAAGGCAGTTTAGACGTAGTTACGTGCTTGCCTTGCGCGTCGTGTCAACGTGTGGTACCTCGTTGTCAGAGTAGTGCAGCTCCACTTGCATGAGTGTGGTGACACCGCCGCTTACTGCTTCGCGTTCAATGCAACCGACTGATAAAATTGGTGCAATAAGCACCGCAGAAAAGCAACGCTGTCGATGGTCGAATGTCGCGAATTGGTGGAGCGAGGCACAAGCTAGATGGAAGCTCAAGGCTCTCGTGCGTTCACGGCGTGAGCTGTGAACTTATAAAGCACTTTGTGCTAGTGCAAGCATGAGCGCAAGCATAGATGTCCCTGTTACTGAGGCGCCCACACCTCGGATTTCTATCCTGAATTGACACATTTAACGATCGCATATCGAGCATGAGTGCCTAACACGGGCTTGTTGATGTCATCTTTGTGTGGGATTGCCTATATGCTGTGGCCAGGTTAACAACCTCAGCTACCACAGGGGTTTGTCTTCATCATGGAAATTAGTCGTCACGATGAAGACATGCCACTAGACGTCAATATGGGGCAACCATATCAAATGGTGCTATACCTGATAAACATGACTATACTTTGTACAAACACACATACATAATTCGGCAGTGGAAAGAACATGAAACCACCCTTGCAGATAACTTGTGTATCCAAGGGGACACAAAGTGAGAAAATTATATAGCTTTCAGTGGCCCGAATAGCAAAGATATAATGTTTATTTTTCAGGGACTGAAGCAAGTGGGTATAATTGTATTGAAAATTTGAGGCAGTCGCGTTTGTACACTTTATATGCGGAATAATTCTGGTATGTTTCTGCTCCTAGATATCCCTCAGCAAAGCTTAATTGTGCAGTATATGATTATGCATGAAAGGTGGTGAAGATGGGCTTAATGTTTCTCCCGGATGTGACGAACAGTCATAGCTTTCTATCGCCAGCCGGTAGGAAAAGGGCAACTGCTATCATCTTTGCCTATTCCTTCAACCCTTTGGCAGAATAAACGACGCACGTAACTGCCACTGCTCATCGGGTAAGAGCTTTGCGCCTGTGCCTACTATCCAGGTGCGTAATCATTCTAAGCAGTATAAACTTTGCTGCGGAATATCTCCAAGTACAGACATGCTAGTAGAATTCTTCACAGTATGGCTGAGTATAAACGTGACAGCCTTTAAATTTTCAATGCGAATATGCCCGTTTGCTGCAGCCACTGACAGCCATAAATATTTTCTCACTTTGTGTCCCCTGGATGCATAAGCTATCTGCAAAGGTGGTTTTCTTGGTTATCCCAGTGCTAAATGTTTTGAAACCGTAAACGTTAACCTTGAACACCCGGTCTATTATTACACAGTAAACAATCAGCTACTAACTCTGTATTATTACACATTATACAGTCATCTACTTCTTTCTTAAGGAAAAAAAAAGACTTGGCATCACGTTTATAGACATTTTTCTTGTGAATATTTATCCTTTTTTTCGTGTCTGTGTTTTCCTCCTATTTGTTAACCTTCTTTTCTCTCCTTCTTTCTTCCCTTGTTTCCTCTATGCCCCTAGCCCCTTCTCGAAGGAGCCTGCTGATGCGGTGCCTATATAGATGGCAGTTGTCAGCCTGTTCCCTCCCTATTAAATCTGGCTTCGTGTTTTCTATGTACTCGAACCGAATAAATAAATAGATACTTCAATCTAATCACGCTTTACTTTTCTGTTATAACTGTTCCCATGAAGGAGGCATCAGCCATGTCTCCCCGCCGTGTTAGTATAGTGGCTATGGTAGTCGGCCGCTGACCCGAAGGTCGCGGGATCGAATCCCGGCTGCGGCGGCTGCATTTCGAATGGAGGTGGAAATGTTGTAGGTCCGTGTGCTCAGATTTGGTTGGACGTTAAAGAACCAAAGGTGCTAGAAATTTCCGGAGCCCTCCACTATGGCGTCTCTCATAATCAAACGGTGGTTTTGGGACGTTAAACCCCACATAACAATCAATCAATCATCAGTCATGTTACTTAGGAAGTTACATCCACACGACTTGGTATATCTGGCTGAACACGCATGCTTCAATAGTGGCATGGCGCTTTTTGAATAATCTCAAGGTTAGCATGACACTGAAAAGAGACATCATTCAAACCTTGTGGAAATGGTCTTTCTTTCGAACACCACCAGGAAATCCTCCCCCGATGTCGAGAACTGTCATTGCGAAACCCATCTCTATGCCAATGTCGAAAACAGCTCTGGCGTCAGCAATTGTCAAGGCAAATATCTCGGGATGCTTGTAAGCGCAGCCAACGTGAAATCTGCGAGCAAAATAATTCAAGTTGAAGTGAAGTCCATGAGAAAAAAAAACAGGGAAAATCACAGTAGTTGCCTTTATTTTAACTGCACCCTGAATGAAATTCACACATTATATGAATTTGTTATCGAATAGCATACACCAACATCAATAAATATCAGAACACCCTGACATAAATACAAGGCTTTTACATTTCAATCGGCTTGCAAGAACACTTCTAAGCAACCTCATTGGGCATCAGTAATAACCCTCTTCCCCAAAATCTTAACATTTTTTCCCTTCAGCATTTGCTGATTTACTATTTTGTACTGGCATTTAGAGGTGTTCTTTTTCAGTAGTGTCATACGCATGAACTAGTCTGAATTTTTCACTTTGTAATTAGACAGGATGACTTCTTGACTGATTTTGATTGCACCATGAGCATCATAGTAGAAAGACGGAGGCTTGAAGGGAAGAGAATAGAAACATAGAAATAGGTAAAAAGAAACGCTGGGAGGTGAACCTGGTAAAAGTAACCAGTTTGCTACACTGCATAGGAGAAATGATTAAACAAAGGATGCCACTGGTGGCAACACTTCGAGAAATATACTTGTCTTCGTAAGAAGAAAGGGCATTTAGGGACTGTGGCAAATGGGCTACAAGGTGTCGAGCAGTAGGTACATAGGGTGTCGAAGACAAATAAAAACTAAAACCATTCTGCTATACCACTTTTGTGTAATGAAATTTTGTTTTGCAAATGCACCTTATTTGAAGGATTGTTTAGACGTCAGCGATCTTCGACATTTTCGAGATTTGAGGGGCTGGAGATATAAGAAGGAGTTTTTGTAAAGTTTAAACAACTACAGGCGAAGTGAAGCATCGTGTCATGTTTTACTTGTGCATTTTACTTGCAGCTTTTTACTTGATCACGCGCGAGAAACATACCCACCAGCTTTTCGTTGTATATGTATACCATTTTGACAGCACTTCGAAGGAATGCCCACAAGATAAGTATAAGTTGCTTGTCGAATTATGTCACACATGTTGCTTTCTTCCGCAGAGAAATGTGTAAAATTTACTTACGACACACCGACGACATTCATTTCCATGTCTCTAGCCGAGCAGAGAATTCGTCTGGCTTCTCGGGATGGAATACCATATTTGGCATTCATGGACTGTTGTACTCCGTATTCATTTGCAGCTATGCGAAGCAGCAACCTGCATGTCATATGAAACAATTTAACTGTGTGCCCAGAATTCAATTTGTACTTGATGGCTCTCATTGATTATTCAAAACATTTTTTTACTGAAATCCTAAACAACATCTCAAACATGTAAAACGCTGGCGCCACACAGATTCTCTCCTGGCACCTTCTATATTTTCCGTACACTATGTCACACCAGCACGATATTCAAGTTACGTCATTTGGGTGCGAGTTCTCGATTTCTACATATATGAGGGACATCAGCCGGGAACGGTTCCCTGGCCCGCTTCGCCGATCAGTGGCACGCCTCTGCTGTTTAGCTTGGCTGAAATATTGTACCGATCAAGTGATTTCGCTTCTTACGGCAGAAGTGGAGATAACAGTAGCCGGAAAACATAATGAACTGCCATGAAGGCGAGAACAAAACCACTTTTTCTGCTATATATGAGCCACTAACTCTCCAGATAATTCAAAAGTTAGGGATTCAGATCCCACCAACAGAGCGGGTAGTTTTCGTTCACTGTCATTTTTCTTCGATTAGAAGATAATCATTAGAGTATAGTTCAGAAACCATCAATATTACCACTAATGCTTTCCTTGGCTTAATCGTCTGTGGGTTCCATCAGTTGTGTACATTACAGAAAAACGAGCCCCTCGAACATATTCCCAACTTTTGTGCTATGAACTCGGAGCGGCGTAGGCGCCCTTTAAAGGCATGATTATTATGCAGCTTCAAATTCATTCAGGAGGTGAACTTACACAAAAGCAAATTTCGTTTCAAAAGTGTGAAAGGTTATTTAAAATTGTGAAAAATTGTGAAAAATTGTGAAAGGCCAATTAAAGTAGACTAGTTTGCCCACGGTGAAGATGAGTGCACACGGACTTAACAGCTCGTTAATGGGAGTTGTGGTTGCGCTACGACTGTCCAGCGACATATACTGTGGTACAGAACTCTGCATTATTCTAGACATTCGAAGTTCTTTTTTTTAGCAAGCACCCAAAGCTCGATACAAGAGCGTTTTTGGATTCTTCTCCACAGTTGTGCGGCCTCCACCAAATTGAAATTACCTATGTGACCTCAAGCTCCAGGCAGTTATTTCTGGAGTGTTTATTTCTGAGAGTTCTTATTTACCCTCCTTTAATCCGGTCTACTCACCTCTGGAGGCTCTGAAAATTATGCACTCAGTAATTTGGTGTTGGTATTGAATAAAAGCTACACTTGAACTTTATTGCAGGGGCATTGTATACATGCATATAAGCATACATTAGAATATCGGAAAAAGCTAGTATAACACTTTATTCAGTTTTCGGTTTCTATAACGCTTCCCTTACTTGCGAGATAGCATCTGTAGTGATGGTATACTATGAGACAGAGCATAGTAGCCGGAATGCGCAGTATGTGGTCTAATAAATATCACAGGAAAATTTCCTTAACGCCTAAGTAATAGCCAGAATAATAAAAAAAGCTAATCCGACAATACGAACACACAATTCAATAAATACTAAATGCCTTTAAGGCAGCGCTGAACAGACCTTGTTGCTGGAGCCGCACTGAAAGTCTTACAGGAGATAGTACGAAAGAGGCATCTGCACATGGAACCTGAATATGATTTTTTACTGTTTCTCCACTCAGTAAGAAACGAAACATTTGACGCCAGAGAATCACGGAGAGAGGCTTCCATAGCATCTGATACAGAATCAGTGCAGTCATTGAAGTAAAAGACAAAGCTCGTAAATTTGCCGTTCAGAAACCTTGCATTGGGGTCTTCGATTTTTTTCAACTCTTCTGCTGAATCGAATGTCATGAGGGTCACGCCTTTTTGCTGTGCGAAGCTCAGATGAGAGGTGCACTTCACGGTGTTGGCGTAGACGATCCGACTTGGTGTGACGCCGATATCGAACACTGACATCATTTCAGCCTGCACAGAAAGATTTGATTGAATTGCGCGCGCACAATACAATAAACAACATGTAAAAAGGAGTTCATTGTTAAAGGTAACACTTATATAAAAGGCATGTCTAGATATAAATCTCTGGTAATTTCACAGTGGCCTATATTCTCAGGTGATAAGCAGTAGTTTCCACTTCTGAGTCATGTTGACTCGCATTTACAATGGAGGGGCGCCATTTGCAAGAATACTTGCACATAAGGTGAAGCATTCTGAGAGTAACTCATGTCAGTGTTCCGTTCAACGGTATAGGGTGGTATGGTAGTGTACATGAAGACATGTATATTCCGCCTTCTTTCATTTTACCATATGGGGCGAAAGGAGCGAAACCACCGGTATATTGGAAGAAGGCGCCGTCTATCAGGTGGGATATTTGGTTATGAAGGGGGGGGGGGAGATGTGGTTGAGACGTTAGCTTGCCATCTCTTCTGAGGTATGGTCACACCATTTTTTGTAAAAGCATTATCTCCTTCTCTCTTTCCTACTTGGTGGTGTCATGGAATGATATTAACAACAATCGTCTTTTTTGGGACCTTCAATGACAAAATATTGGTCTGTTTCTCCACGGTAACGTTCCCCCTAAAAGCACCAAACGGTACCTCAAATGGCCAACCCGATACGCAGCACCTACCAATATTGCTCAAGTTTTGCGATAGTACTTGCGCGATTGTGAATGAAAAATCAATTATTGCGCATATTTGAGGCACCACAACAACACGTCGATGTTTTTTATGAATGCCTTTACACTAGAGAGGGCCCACACAAGTACTTGTAAGGACTGTAGCATTTATTATCTAGCGCTGATAGTGCAACGCGATGCCCAAGAAGGCAAGTATTTCCAACACTTTGCTAAGACTACATGGTAGTGGCGCCTGCCCGTCGCTTTGCGTTCCACTCCTTATTCTCCCGAGACAGGCGCGCATCTTTCTCCGCGGGCGGGCACGCCTTTCTTCGTTTTCGAAGCTAACTGCCAGATGGCGCCCGTATCTAACGTGCCTCCATGCGCTAGTTCGCCTTCACTGCACGGATCTAGACTCCAACGCAGCGCTTCCAGAATAATAATAACTGATTTTCTCGCACAGAACATCAAAAAACGTTTCGTTCACTCTCTCCACACGCAAGACTATCGCCTTTCGACGACATCTGCAGTGAAACATGCAGATATAGGGCCGATTTCATGACTTTACAGCATCTTCACAGCAGGGCTGCCTGTTGATCGTGAACCTGGTGATTATGAATGTTCTTCTAGCGCATCTGAGAAGTGTGGATGTTCCTCTCAAACGGAGAATAAAAAAATTTCAGTGACAAGAAGAGCAACAACATATGCATCTTGATCATTGCAGTTCAATACTTGATAACGCGGAATATACTCAATTCCAGGCCTAATATAATGTAACATAACTTTGTTTTCTGGTTTTGTACTTATCGAAAACCAAAACAATAATGAAAGCACGGTAAAAGTGAGGCGCAAAGAAAATTTATGTGGAATAAAATTATTGAGATAAATAAGGCCTAAATTTGTCAACTAAAATTCATTATACTTCTTTCAGAATTAGAAAAGTAAAGAGCTGTGATTACTGCCTTTTGAATTAGTTGGAAGTAAGCTAGCTATTTGAAGTAAACTAGCTTAGAGATCGATATTTTGTATTTGTGTAAAGGCTTCAATATGGAGAATACAAAACATTTTTTTTCTCAAGGCGCAGGCGACCCAGGATTTGTTCTCCTGTGCACCTGCTTCCACTATCTCTTCATATCATGGTGAGTACAAGCCTTCTGTAAATAATACTTCAGTCTGGAAGCATTGGTGGTTCGATATGTAAGCAGAATGGAAAGTTGCTGTGCCTATATCATATAAGCCACTTTCGCTTATCGTCTTTCTTTAAATCTATGCTTCGCTGCGTCAGATACATTGTGAGGACAGGCTACAAACCACTGCCTTTTTTTATTTTCTTGTAGAACATGTATTAAAGCCTAGAATGACTCGGTCGCTCAACTCTCTCACAAAAGTAGAAAGCGAAAGGTGAAATGGTGTCACGAAAAAAAAAACAAATTATAACTTTAGTTCAGTCTCAGTATCACTCGGTATATGTTTACGTCACGATTTCTCCCAGCTGTACATATTTTGGGTACTAAGTTCTGATAATAAGATTTAAATTGGTAGCTGCAGCCTGTTGGACTGAAACTTACATTGTCAGCAAGCCATGCTATGACAACATCTTAACAATGTACGTAGACACAAGCGAAGGAAAACGCAATCCAGCCTCCCGACGCTGAGTTATTAAAGAGTAGTGTTAAAGAAATATCCGCCTCTTGAGTCCAGTACGAACTGAAAAGCTTATTGCTGGCCCGATGAAGCATCTAGACGCATTATATTTAATGAGAACCAGCCTACCTTCCCATAACAAGGAGCGGTTAGCGACCGCGTGGATTACAAGTCCTGCATATAGTGTTTCACAATTCACTGCCGAAGGCGAGTTTAGTGTTGCAGCCCGAACACCATGTGGGCTACGCAAGCGCAGCCAACTCATTATTGCTTTCAGGGTTGCTTACAAGCCTCACAAAAAATAAAGGTAATCCTGCAAGAAGAGTTCATCATGCATGAAGAAAATATTGAACAGTATTAAAGGCACCTAAACAAACAAAACCTTAACAATGAAGAAGTTTTAGTGCCTATGACAAACTGTGCATTTGGGTTATTTAGGTATTGTAACTCACTGGGATTTTAAGATTTTGGGAATAAACATAAAGGGGAAAACATATAAAAATATACCGGGAGAGTGGAACGTGTTGAAAGCCAACTGAACCCATGCTCAAATGCGTTGGGGGCATGCACTGCAACTTTTCTCAGCCAACATTTTGCCTCGCTCGGTTGCACTACTCATACAATTGTTGATTTGGATAATTATGAGCCCACCCTATTTATTGAGAAGTTCTGGTTTATAAATATATTGGCAGCACAAAAAAACTTGAAAGGTTGACCTTTTTGCGAAATCGCTGCTCTACACTTTGGCTGTATTCATATGGCACCTTGCCATTCTTCAAGTTGCTTTCTTCGGATGTCTGGCGTTAACGAACTGAGACACTGCCGAAAATAGGCAACAGGAAAAAAAAACATTACAGAATAAATAGTGGCTAAGGTGCCCTGTGCAACTTGTTGTGCGTTGCTGAGTGCGTATATAGTGCGTATATATAGGGCTACGCAGGAGTGATATGTGGTAAAAAAGACATCATTTGTCGCCATGGTGTAGAAAAAAACCAGACCTCAAAAGCCTGCTTCGTTAAACATGAACCTTAATGATCAAACCAATGTGGGGAAAACAACGCAAGCTTTTATGTCTGGCTAGTTCAAGTTTCTGCGTTCTTAGCCATTAAAATTTGTGTAATTATATTTCCAAGCAAGTCAGAAGTTCAGTGGAAGATCACCACTTAAAATAATGAGAAATAGTTCAACAGAGAACGTTCCTGCAGCCAAAGTTTCTAAAGAGACTTGTTTTCGTCCGACAAACATGAGTAAACTTGCTCAAACATTAGTTCCACTGAGTTTTTTTGTTTGACGATGTCTCCAGTATGCGTTGTATTATTCCGTGTCTAGTTTATTTATCTATATATATATATATATATATATATATATGACGCATAAAGCATGTATTTCATTCCAGGAAAATTCGGCGCAGTCAACCCTGGAGTACAGAGAATTTGCCAGCAGCGTTAATAGAATTTCAAAACCTTGGCTTTGTCGTACATAAAAAAAACAGAAAAGAGACAGTACCTTGTTGGAGCAGTCGAAATTAACCCCATTGGCATTCAATATTTGAAGTATAACTGGATCTGAGCAAGCCTTGACAGCTGTGAAATTGAAAATTGTAAATGTAAGTGATAGCTTCGAACATATTGAAGCTCCGAAAGCTATACACAGCATGAATGACCATATTTACTTTGTGACAATCAGGTGAGAGATGCGCTCGAAAATACTTCCCTTCGAATCTACGAGAAAAAAATGGAGCCATAGAATATAGAGACTTGTCACCTATCGCATACGTGATGAATCGTCATTGGACAAGTTGTACCTCACAGCCCATATTAACCTTCCTACGTGTCTTCTATTCTTAGTTTATGCGAATCTTCTTAGGGTCGAGCTCAATCTGGTGTGGCGTGACCACTCTTACTACCCATGCGTCACGTCCCCTACTCTCTTTACCCTCTAACAGGCTCCCCCTCTCTCGGTACTCCTACCCATTCGGAGTCTGCTAGACAATGGTCGGTCCCTCTCTATCTCTTCCAGCATCCCTTTCCGCGGCGTTCACACACCCATTCCGTATGCAACCGCCCTCCTCATTCTCTCCTGTGCTCCCCCATCTCTTGCCTCGCAATGCCGACGCAGGCAGTTTCTATTTCTGAGTTTCCTACATGAACAAACTAATGACTCGCGCTGGACAACCGTTTACTGGCCTGCCGTGTATACTGGGTGTCCAACGTAAACTTATCCAAAGTTTAACGACGCGACTAAATGCATGTTAATCGTTGCTTGGAGTTAATCACACTATTATTCGTGTTCTCAAATATTGTTTATTTAGTACTTGTAGTTATTTAACTTTTGAAGGAACAAAGATAGATGAAAATTTTGATGAGAAAGTTGTAGCTCGGTTTGCGAAACGTTCAAATAGATTGTTTTGAACTTTATATGTGATAAGTATTGGTGTTTTTCTGCTAATTGCGAATGCCCGCAAAATACAAAAAAAATACTCCGTTGAAAACCCGCTCACGCGTCTGTGCGCACGATAATTCTAGTGCTCCCTAACGTTCGGCGTACGATCGACACGCTTCTCTCGCACCGGTTCATGACATCTATAAGCAGTCACAGTGGTTATCATTTTTGTGGCCAATAGCAAAATGTGTTCATCGTAAAGCCGCCACCATTGCTGCGGCCCTGCCGAGACAGCACAATGGGGCAAATTTTATGGTCATTCCTACGCGGAACGTTAGGGAGCACTAGAATCATTGTACGCACTGGCACACGAGGAGGTTTGTCATGTGGTATTTATTTTGTTATTCACGGGCATTTGTATTTAGCAGAAAATACAAATGCCTAATAGATATAAAAATCACAACTGTCTGATCAGACGTTTCGCAAACCGATGTACAACTTTCTTATCTAAGTTTCTTTCTTGAAAAGTTAGTTATATAAACATATCTAATTAAACAAGATATGAGCACACAAAAACAGTCTAAATCCAGGAAACGGTGAGCAACATGCCTTTCGTCGCGTTGTAATTGAGTGTTCCGGCATATTTTTAAACTCTGGCTAAAGTTACATAAAACACCCTGTGTAGGCACTGGCCATGCACTTCCATGATAATGCCGATGGAAGATTTTTCCTGTTTGTTGTTTAACAATAAATATTCAGAGCGTGCGCTTCAACTAAAAGCGGACTGCGGGTCCCTCCGAATAATTGGCGTATTCTGTCTCTCTTTGCCTATTAGCAGCAATTGGCATGTTCCAGTGAAAAACACTGGTCCATCACTAAGCGCTTTGAGCCTCCCCAGTTTTCTCTTCTGCGCAACACCGCGATGAGGGCCAGCGTCAACGCCACCGTCAGTGCAAGCGTTAGCGCCCGCTGCTTCGCATCTACACATGGTTCCCTTGAGCAAGAGAGGTTGTATTTTCTCTCTCTCACACCCGGAGTATAGAAACATTCTTATATAGAAACACAAAGACGTATCTTATTAAAATATACGATTGAAAAAGTATACTTCTTATTCAGATAAATGCAGCGCGATTTACACAGACTGGAGACACATGAAATAAAAACGAGCGCTGACTTGCAAGAGTGCTGTTGCGGTAACATTACTTCCAACGACATTCTTCGCTAATTGATAACTCCTGTATACATCGTATTGTCTAAGTCGCGCTGCCCTTATCAGAGTATGCACTTACATGCCCAAGTCAAGGTGTTAATCAAATCTGTGAGTTGACACTATACAGTAGCGAAACATGGATAGTGTGTACGTTTACGCAAAAGACGCCAGGCTGCCACGTAATTGCTCGTACATTCATGCATGCAAAACTATTCCCCTAATCTCTCTCTCTCTCTCTCTCACACACACACACACACACACACACACACACACACACACACACACACACACACACACACACACACACACACACACACACACACACACACACACACACACACAATCTGCGGCGTTTTCTCCCAACCTGAATTGCCGATGCCATAATTCTGTGAGTGTTCCGCACTTCGCATTTTCAACTCTGTACAAACTAACAGGCATGGCAGGTGCTCTTCAGAGTTGTCCTTGGCACGCCAAAGAAAATTTGTATATTCCTGCGCGGAGGGAGCCTCATAGATTCTGCAGGTATTTTGAATAAAGTTGTTCTCTCTCCCCCGCTTGCAGCGCGAAGCTAAAAAAATCCTTTCCTTAAAATTAAAGGTTTCTAAATTGCTAAAAAAGAAAGGAAAATTTGACCTCAAATTTGATCATTTTACACTACGGTTCTGTAGATTTGCCAGCACTTTGCATTTTCTCATAGTAACTGCTAGACATTGAAGTAGTAGGTCTTTTTTCTTGGTGAATTCAAAGGTCATTTTTGTGAAGATCTCATCACGTGTTAAATAAAAACCTGAATGAGAATAAAACTGATTTACTTGAAACAATGATGTTCACACACTAACTGCTTGTTTACATAGTCGCCACTTTGATCGAGACATTCGTCGTAGCATGATGCCAACTTTCCTGTACACTCCTCACAGAAGGCAGCTGCCTGTGCCTTCAACCTCTCTCCTTTCTATCTTTCATCTCCCCATCCCCCTTCCATACGCAGGGTAGCAAACCGGCTGTTTATAGACTAGTTAACCTCTCTGCCAGTTTTTTTCTTCTATTTTCATTCCTTTTTTCGTACGCACGTCTGCAGCTCGTTGTCCGAGTGGAACTCTTGACATCATAACCAGCATTTCATTTGACCCAAGAGAAGGTATTCACTGAGAGCTAAGTCCACATAGCACATCGCACAAAGATTGACCAGAGGATTAGAACATATCGCTTGGTCCACGTGCTGAACAAGGACATCGGTTGACACTCGCTCAATTCCTTGTCCGCCTTCATCTTAAATGGGGGTGCGTATTAGTTTAAGTTCCATACGCCAATGCCCCACCTTGCTGTCACTCATTAAAGTTGTGTCGTAAACATTGCTCTGTCGTCGATGAATTCCACCCACACTGCAGCCTTCAACATGCAGAAATATAATCGCAGTGCACTCAAAACGCAGTGGCAGACCCTATATAACAAGGACTGCTCGCATGCTTACTGTGCGATCAAACTTGAGAGTTGACCCCACTCGTTAGGTGGGCATACTAGAGATTAATCATATGGTGGTTATGGGACGTTGAACCCCACATATCAATCAATCATACTAGAGATAGAGAGCAAGTCAGCATCATCAGTGTGCTTTACGCCACCGAATTTTCACTGTGATTTCTTTCGGCGGTCAATTTGCCCTTGCAAAGAAAACAGAACAAGCAAAAAGATTTAAAAAGTTGGTCAGTGCATGCGCGCTTTTAGAAATATCTGGTTCTTGGCCTTCTTATGTAGAAATTGCAGCAGTGCCTCACCAAACCAATTTTGCATGTGCAGCGATGTTTGTTTTGTCCGTTTGTAAATTGGTAGCTCTCAGTTTCAATTCGCGAGTACAACCACCATTCTTTGGCGGAAGCGCAATGAACGGCTGCCGAACGTCCGCTTCAGATGCAGAGGCTACACTTCGGGTGTAGTGTCCCGGCGTTAGGCTGCGGGCCCAAGTGCCCAAAAGCACGATTGCTCCTCAGTCTGGTTATCTGGAGACATCGTCCAAGCAAGAAAAAATACTAAGAAAGAAGCAGACAAACAGAAGGATTAATGCTCGCGTGCGCCGATAGAGATGCAATTATTGAGCCGTAAGAATGGGGCCACAGTCCGAAAGAGACTTTTCTTAGAGCAAACAAGACACACAAGTAAGAGATAGGACAAGGAAGCTCTAAAAACAAACGAAAAAAAACCTTGAGCCCCAGCACTGCCGTATTTCTGCCGTTGTCTTGCTTGCTCTTAAAACTTTGATAAATACCAACCAACTCGCCCATCATTGCCTTCTGCTGATCTGAAAAAAAGGCGTGTCCTGTAGTATTTCTGCTGGATAACTTGAAAGAGACTGAAGTGCACTGGACAAGGATAGACACAGGCTTGAGATTTATCTCCTACAAATGCAGATTGTCAGGCTCTAATGTGATATATTGAGAGACATGCTTTTGTAGAAATAAACAAGACAAGGGAGTCTTATCAATTTTGTCATGTCACGCTTACTTACGACTTCGGTTTTGGGAAAATGTTGAGAGTTAAACCATAGCAGCTCCGGTTCGTATTTTATGTGCTATTGAAGGAGTGAGTGCTCTAGTCGATGACTTGTCTTGGTACGAGATGGGCAGTTTAAAGAATTTCTGTTTTGTGGACTATTGGGGAGTCTTTCAGTGCCTGAGCCAAATGAATTGGCACTCGACTCCAGAGACTCGCACCCTTTCTGTTCTTGTAAGAATTGACGGTCGGAGAGTAACATGTAATTTACCATCATCCAGCAACTTTTTACAGCGAACCGGTCTATTAGTGAGATCTGCAAAGGAAAAAAAAACTGTTTGACTTGGAAAAAAATTGCACAGTTTGCACAGAAGTGATACAAGGCTGTAACCAACAGTAGAGCAAGATTTCGTCCTACTACGCACGCGACCCGACTCCCTGAATTTCTTCGAACATCCGACGTGACTAGTCGCGTCATATCACGTGATGCTGTGTGAAGACAAG